CCTGCCAGCGGGTCATGGTCACGTCACAATTCCTTCTCTTCCATTTCTCCACTCTGTTTGGATCTTGGGCACAGACACACACGCATCTGGAATGTCTTTCAAACATTGATTCAAACCGGGAACCAGCAGTTAGCGTAATGGCTATGTCGCTGGACTCCCACGTAGTCGACCCGCGGTTTGCGTCCCGGACCCGGTGGCTTGAAACTCAAGCCAGGTGCGTGTGCGTGCGTGCCCAGGATCCCGAGAGGAGAATGGAGGAGAAGGGATTGTGGTGTGACCATCCCCCCTGGGGGGTGATTTCTCGCTTTCTGTCTCTCTGTCTCTGTCTGTCTGGCGAGCTCACGCGCCCTATAGCGAAAATCCCTCCAAAAACAAAACAAAACAAAACAAAACAACATTGATTCAAACCGTGGTCAGTTGTGTGGCACCTTGGTCCCTTAACCACTAGGCTAGGCTATGGGGTTGGCCCCTGAATCCTTTTTTTTATTTTCTTTTTTTCTGATCTTTAATTTTTGCTATAGGGCACATGCAGTCACTGGAGAGAGACAGAGAGAAAAGGAAAGTGAGAAATCCCCCCCGGGGGATGGCAACGCTGCAACCCCCTTTTTTCTTTATCTTTTCTTTTCTCTTTTTTCTTTCTTTTTTATTTTTGAGAGATTTTGGCTATGGGGTGCTTGTGTTCACTAGAGAGAGAGACAGAAAGTGAGAAGTTACAACCCCGGAGGGCAGTGGTGGATGGCCAGGCCGCAATCCCTTCCCCTCCATTCTCCTCTCAGAATCTGGGGCACGCACATGCATCCAGCATGAATTTCAAGCTGCTGGGTCTGGGATTCAAACCACAATCGGCCACGTGGTAGTCCAGCACTTTAACCACTGTGCCATCTGTCAGCCCTCCACAACCCCTTCTTCTCCATTCTTCTCCTGGATTTTGGGCATGCATAAACACATGCCTGGTGTGATTTTCAGGCCGCCAGATCCAGGGCTTGATCCATGGAGTTGGCCATGTGGGATCCAGCTGCCTTAACCACCATGCCACATGCTGGCTGCTATTTTTTTCTTTTTCTTCCATTTTTTAAAAAATAAAATTATATTTTTTGGGGACCAGCAGTTAGCGTAATGGCTATGTTGCTGGACTCCCATGTAGTCAACTGCAGTTCAAGTCCCAGACCCGGTGACTTAAACTCACGCTGGGCGCGTGTGCGTGTGTGCCCAAGATCCTGAGAGAAGAATGGAAGAGAGGGGATTGTGGCATGGCCATTCCCCCTGGGGGTGATTTCTCGCTTTCTGTCTCTCTGTCTCTCTCTGTCTGGCGAGCGCACGCACCCTATAGCAAAAACCTCCCCACCCCCCAAATTTTTTTTTAATATAGAGAGCGTGTGTGCTTGCCAGAGAGAGAGCAAGGAAGAGGAAAAAGCACTCAGCATGGGAACACTAAGACTGCAATTCCTTCTCTTCCCTCTCTCCCTCCCTTAGAGATTTTGTGCACACATACATATACATCCAGCATGTTTCTCAAGCCACCAGGTCTGGGACTTGAACTCTGCAATCAGCCATATGAGATCCAGCTGTCTTAACTGCCAGGCCATAGAGCTGGCCCTGAATCCTCTTTTATAAGGTCATTAACTTCATTCACAAGGATAAAACCTCATGAATTTTCTTAAAATTATTTATTTAATTTTATTTATTATTATTATTCAATCTGACCAGGGAGAGAGAGAGAAAGCAAGCTGCCAGGTCCAGGACTCAAACCAGTCAACCAATTGGGAGTCCAGCATCTTTTTTGTTTTTTTGGAGATTTTTTTTTTTTTTTTTTTTTTGTTTTAGGGCACGTGCTCTCCCCAGAAAGAGAGGACAGAAGGTGAGAAATCACTCCCCAGGGGGGATGGCCATGCCACAATCCCTTCTCCTCCATTCTCCTCTCGGGATCTTGGGCACACACGCACACACGCCCAGCATGAGTTTAAACCGCCAGGTCTGGGACTCGAACTGCAGTCGACTACATGGGAGTCCAGCGACA